AAACAACTGTTAGTAACGAAAGCCATATATTTTTTAATTTTTTTTTAAACTTTGCCTCACTACAATCCGTATTATCACTCACCATTGTATATTCGGACCAAAAATGTAACCACAGCATGTAGGTGGGTCCAGGGCTTATGGAAAGGAAGTTAAAAATATCACTGAAAATCTTTGGATTTGATTCAGGCTTTACAATATATTTTCACATGAAGTTATTGATTACATGAAGTATTGTGTAAAAGGAACTACAGTAAAATAATATCTTAGTTAATGTATAACATTTCAAGAGCCAAAAAAAATTATGATTTAACAATTGATGGGTGATGTAGAGAATTACTGGGCAAAGTAATAACAGTTAACAAAGTGACATTGAACAGAATAATCTCCACTTATTAAGAGGACTGTTGATTATTGCAAGAAGGAAAAGCCTTTGTAGTATTATTTTGATTTTCCTCATTTTCAGAAGTATAACATCTCTGCCTAGTCGCAGTAATAACTTTCCCAAGACAACCCTAGATCCGTCCCTACAAAACTCAGAGGTACTAAGAAGACCCCGTCTGCAAGACAAAACATTCAGATTGTGTGACCTATTTTGCCATATAAAGTATTGTAGGAATGATGTATTCTGTCTGTTCCTTATTCATTGAACATACAATCAAATACATTACCATGAAGATAATATTTTCAGCTGTGGTGAATAAATATAAAATACTTTATAATAAATGTTACTTTTGAATGAGGCTTATACAGTGCCACTAGTGTCATCAATTTAGCACATAAAAAAGACAAATACTGTTAAGCTGAAACCTTTTTTTACTATCAGTATATTTTGGTGAGCAAATAATTGTAATCCAAGCATTATACCATAGTACAATATATGTTTTTTCAATAATTCAATTATTTCTGGTAAGAAAGTGTGATATTACTCCATGAGGTTCAGCAGGAGAAAATTGCCCTGGAAGACCATATAAATTTTCTCTACAAGTTTCTCTCTATTCAAGATGTCAGAGAACATAGTCTAGATTATTTAGTACCAAATTCTGAAATTCTGAGTTAAGTAACTGGTCACCATACACCATTAATGTCAGTTAAAATATCTGCCAAATTATTTTAGTGTGTGGTGTCAAGTTCAGATAAATTTGGTAAATAAATGAGATATGATGACTCAAGTTCTTGAACAATAATATTTCAGTATTTGGTTGAAGTTATTTCAGTGGTATATGAAAGCAACATATCACCTTTTAATACACTGCTGATGCCACCAATATTAATTTCAGGACTACATAACAATGTACAGTCATATAAGACATTCCTTTAATAGCCTTATATAGAGAGTAACATATTAGACACACTAGGAAAGTACGCCAAACTTTGCCTTTGTGCAAATTTTTCTATTTAGTGAGAGTTGTTTTTGGTCATATTATAGTCAAATACACAGATAACAAAAGACACTACATGAAACTGGGTGCTGAGTGGCTATGGAATTGTCACAGTTAGTATAATTATTTGACAGGGTGCAAGTCATGTGTGGTATAGTAAGATATCTCATAGAGAATCTAAATGGAGAATGAAGCACTTTGGCAAAATACCCAATAAATATGTCTTTGGTGGGTCATACCAAAAGAAAATTGTAATCTAATTTAGAGTTATCAGAATAAATTTATAACCATGAAGATAACTTTCGCATCTAGAAAAAAAAAGATGGGACATGACACAACAGTAGTCAGTGAAAGTCAAAGATACTGTTCAACATGATTGCTCCACAAATGAGATATTTCAGGGGCAAGACAGCCTATGGCATACTAGTCTTAAGCTACACTCCATCTTTAAAAAAAAAAATGTACGTAAAGGGCAAAGATTTCTTAATGATGGGGTGACTTCAAGGAGGAGGCAATGATGTTGAAGGGTTAGTGATCCATGGAATTAGAGCTACACTTTCCTTCCCTGGATCAAAGTTGATTACCACCCATTCCCCAGGCACTGTATGACCCTTACACGTTCAGTGCCCCCCCAGAAAAGTGATGCATAATAATGAAGGAATATTTGTTTTTTTGGGTGCACAAGACACTGATATTGCAAAAGAGGAGTTTTGCAGATTAGAGATAATGTAGGGTACTGTCATAGGGGATGATTTTTACGATCAGAGACAACGTAGAGTACTGTCAGTATAGGATGATGTTGCAGATCAAGACAATAAGTACTGTCAGTATGAGGAGATGTTGCAAATAAACAATTTAAGTACTGTCATATGAGGATGATGTTCGATCAAAACATTAAAGGTACTTCAGTATAGTGAGTTGCAGATCAAGACAACGTAGAGTAGTCAAAAATAAGATATGTTCAGATCAAGACAGTGGAGTACTGGGGTTTGGATATTTGCAGATAGAACAAGTACGTCAGTATGGGGATGATGCTAAAACCCAAAATTCAGAAAAAACCCATCTATAAAGGAATATCATTATTTTTAAAAAAAATTTCATAAAGAAGCCCTCTTATAAAGTTTCTGCCATAGATATTTTTTAATATTTTAAAAAAACTGAACCAAAAATTGAAAACAAATCAAAAGTAATTAAGACCTTTTCCAAGTGCTATTCAATTTTGGATGTATTTTTTTCAACATTTTTAAAAAAAAAAATCGTTGTACTTTGAGGGGCTTTATAAGAGAGCTGATATTTTAGAACTAACCAATTTACACTTCAGGTCTGAATTAATTGAATTTGGGGAAATAACATTTTTTTTCACATGTATACAGGTATCCAAAAACTAAATTTTTATTGACGACAAAAAATACGTCTTTGTTTTATAAAATCACCCAATAAAAATTTTAAGGGTTTTTTAATTAGCACTTATCTAAAAAAATAACAATAAAAATAAAAGGGAAAATTTCATTAATTTAAAAGGACTACATATACACCCCTCCTCTGTATAAAAAAACAAAATAATTTTAAAAGGGAAAGGTCCCTTTGAGCGGTGAATTCTGTTGATAAAAGGGGTTTTGGATTAAAACCCCCCCTCCCCTTCCTCACATCAAACCAATTGCCCCCAAACCCTCAGGCACTGCAAAAACCCTTAGGGGTTTTTAAGTGCTTCCCAATGAATTTAACAAAAACCAAGAAAAATAATAATATAATCAAATTATAATACTGTAATAATAAATTTTGTTAACTGATTTTTAAACACTACAGATCTGATACCTGTGCATTTTATTAAGAAAGGTTTAATTATTTTAAAAGACAAACCTGTACATTAACATGTAATTGGGCAGTTTACTACAACCTAATTCTCAATTTGGTTATTTTGAAAGGGCTCGATACTGAAAACAACCTTGCAATTGCAAGACCACACTATACCAACTTAGAAACATGAAAAAAGGGGTACGTACAAAATTATCATTGACTTCAATGCAAGCCCTTTTCCCTCTAATATTCTTAGCAATTTTTTACTTTCACGATAGTAAGATTCTCACAATTGTTTATCTTCGAACACATAATATCATGATGAGATCTGTTACTGCAGTGAAATCAAATGCAGTATTAACCAATTCCATAACGCATTAATTCTGTAACTCAAATTTAATCGAATAAACACTGAAAAAGAATAAACAGAAAGATGGGCGGGCTTTAACTGTGGGGCCCTAAATTCGGTTAACTTAGGTAAAGGATAAGTCCAACAATGTGCAATTTTTTTGGCAACATTTTGCAAACATTGCCATAATAAATGTCACACAGTTTTCACTTGCATCCTTTTACCTAAAATATTGTCAGTAATTGACCAACTTTAATACATTTTAACTTATTTTTTTATTTATTTTTTTTATTTATTATAAAATTTTTGCACACATACAGAGTAAAAAAAAACAGAAAGAGCAATGCCAAAGCCACTTTTTACTATGCATAGCATTACGGGGTGGCTTAAAATTTCTAAATTAATAAGCAATGATGAACATGAAAAACATTAAGTAAACAGATTACAAAAGCACAAGTGTATTACAAAACAGGTCAATGAAATTCTGAGGTAGTGTAATTAAAAAAAAAAAAGTTAATTGGGTTTTAGGTTTAACATTTATTGTTAATTTTGGAAAAAATTTAAAATATACAATTTATAAGGTTCATTTATTCAGATTTATTTTGGTTTTGGTGAGTAAGTGACTTTGATAGAACTTGAATTTAAAAACATAGTGTTTCTTTTTTATTTACAGGGAAAGAAAATTTCCCGATTTTAGGGCCTTTAGTGCATTGATTTTTTTCATAGTGTGAAAGAAATTTTGGACCACAGTTTTAAACCTCCCATTCACCTCTCTTATTTACTGTAAATAATTTTTTTTGTTTACAGTTTTGATATTTCTTAATGCAATACGGAATTTTAAACTATTCCACTATTCTTACACTTTAGTGTAAGAGCCAAATTTAAACTACAATGTAAAAATTTTACATAATCATTGCAAAAACGCATAGCATTATAAAGAGGCAAAGATCAGAAGGATTTTTAAATACAATGTGATTTATAAATAAGCATTAAAAATGCTGATGCGTACTAACAATTTAGACAGCAATTAAAAATAAAAATTTCATATTGTAAAAAAAATAGGGCATAACTCATCCAGTCTATTGTAAAAAAATTTTCCAAATTTTTTGAAAATCTTAAGCCCCACGCTCATATAAATACAGACCCAAAAAAAACAAATATACATTAGTTAGAGAAAACTTATACATACGCACTAAAAGGTTGTTGCATACACACACAACCAAGCTTGTATTTAACTTTTCACCTGGTCCCTGAGTTCATCTGACCGAAAGAAAACGAATAAAATTTTAAACAAATGTATTAAAACTGTACTATATTAGTACACACAAAGTAATATATGGCGAGGAAAATACACAAGGTTTTGCAGGGTTTCCCTTTAAAGTGTTTACATTTTTTCCCCCAAGGTCCAAGTAAATATTTTTAAAACCCAAAAGTTTTTTTTGGTTATTAGGTATGTACGTAATTGCCATAAAATCTCATAGGTTCAGTTACAAAATTCTTTAGATAATGCCTGAGCTCTTAAGTTGAATACAGAGGATGTCAAGTCTTTTACTTAAAAGATAATATACACTATGTGATTGCATACTAGTTTCTTTGTTGTTACTGTAATAAGAAAGTGGAAATTAATACTTATAGTAAAAGGTTGCAGCATGTGTGTAGGCCAGGACAGGTTGAAATTTACTCTAGTGAAAATAGATCAGATGTTTGGTATGTATATAAATATTTTATGAACATATTAATGGAAAATAGTTTTGTATAACATATGCAGTACAATATTATATTAAGCAAAATGATAAATTAAAATTAATGCCACCTACAATAAAAAACAGTGATGAGTAAGACACACGTGCAACAGTTAGATACCCAACAGTTAGATACCTAACTGTTAGATACCTAACCGTTAGATACCTAACATTAGATATCTACCTGTCAGATACCTAGCTGGTGCACATGTGACTTACTTATCAACTTCTCGGTATTGCATACTATTGTCATATTCACAATAAAAAATAATATTAGTACGAAGCAGTTATTGGTAGATGAGGGAAAAATCTGTCTGACCTCTGCCAAGATCAAGGCGCTTCAACACTGCCACAACTTATACAATATGTCAAAACTATTCCCAGAGTATAGTACATACAAAACAATTTACATTTTTAATATGGGCATTATACTGTAGCAACAGTAAAGAATGTTCCAATACCTGTGTAATAATGCTAAGTATAATATTTGTCTAACCTCAGTAACAGCCTAGTTGATCAGGCCCTGATTCACCGCAAGGTCTGGTCACAAACCGAGCCACGGGGGTGTTGACCCCTGAAACCCCTTTCAGGTATATGCCAGGTATGTGTTAATTTGAAACAAAATTCTCAAAATAAAAAAAACAATTTAGTAACTTTCATCTTTATTGTCCAAAGAATATGCCTCTCGTCTTTTAAAATAAGTCTTTTCTTCACACTGTATCTCATTTACAAGAATACAATATTTTTGACAATGTTTTAGTCTACTAAATTTTTGAGCTTGATTACAGAAAGCCAAGATGCATGTTTCCAGAAATAAAAGCAAAGATATTTTCCAGTTAATGATCTGTGGTCCCAGTGACACGTGTTAATTCTAGTCTAAAGTTTGATCTGTCACTGGAAATTAGCAATAGCTCTGCAAACCATGCAAAAAAGACCCTCAGAATGCTCTAGCAGTATTCATATTTAGTCCTATAAATTCAATTTGATCCAATAGATTCCCTACACATTTTCAACTCTTTTCTCACACCCACTAGGCACTATTCAAGGTAAATATCTTCAATTGGGTAGGCTGTCTCAATGAACTTCTGGTAGAATCTCTGGAAGGCGCGTCTGAAAAAGAAGACATTCCTTAGCGCCGAAGCATGGTGACATAAATATTATTTGCTGTAACTGAAAGGAAGGTTATTTACCAGCACACATCTTTCATGTTTGCCCTGATGCTATAAAAAAAACTTGCTCCAAGGAAAGGGTTTCGAGTTTCCCTATGATGATAATATTACAACCACGTTTCTTTTTTCAAGTCACCCTGCCATCATCCTCTTAGACACTATTTGGTGATGAGAATACAGTACCAATATTTTCTTACAGTGAATCACTGAAAGTGTGCAAATTTTTGTTTTTTTTTTCAAATTTTTCGTAAAAATTAGTGTGTAAATATTGAATAATGTAATACTAGACCCCCGGTTTATGATATTAATCTGTTCCTGAGAGCTCATCGTAAACCAAAATTATTGGAAAGCAAATCAATTTTCCCAATAAGAAATAATGGAAATCAAATTAATCCGTGCAAGACACCCAAAAGTACGAAAAAAAACTTTACCACATGAAATATTAAGTTTAATGCAATAGAATAATTACAATAACAACAATAACAATAGAATAATATGTAACAAAAGAATAATGACACTTACCTTTAATGAAGATCTGGTGATGATTGATGGGATGGGAGAGGGGAGAGTGTGGATGGTGTTAGCATTTAGAAGGGGAATCCCCCTCCATTAGGACTTGAGGTAGCAAGTCCTTTTCCGGGTTACTTCCCTTCTTCTTTTAATGCCACTAGGACCAGGTTGAGAGTCACTGGACTTGTGTCGCACAACAAATCTGTCCATAGAGGCCTGTACCTCTCGTTCCTTTATGACGTTCCTAAAGTGGTTCACAACACTGTCATTGTACAAGTTGCCAACACGGCTTGCAGTAGCTGTGTCAGGGTGATTTTCATCAAAAAAGGTTTGCACTTCAAGCCACTTTGCACACATTTCCTTAATTTCAATAGTCATTAGCACCCTTGGTCTCGATGGGTTTGGCACTAGAAGCTTTCTTGGGGCCCATGGTGACTTATTTTGCAGAAACAAGCACCAAAAACAGTGATAATATGGATAATATAGAATGTACCAAATGTATCCGTAGATGCGCGCACACTGGCTGGCTTGTAAACACTGGACACGTCTCGTACAAATCGTATCGCATACCGGGTTTTGTATAGGGAAGCGAGGCAAATTTTTTTCGATCAAATGCATCGACTACCGGATTTATCGGATACCGATAGCATCGGGAACCGGGGGTCCACTGTATTTAAAAAATGTAGTGTTGGTGTGGCTTTTAGAAAATTTCTAGCCATGAGAGAATCAACACACAGGCTAAGAGTGGCATAGATATATGGCGTAATATAAAACAATTGGAGAGTGTAATAGAGAAAAAATCTAGTTTAATCATGCCCAATTAGGACTGTATTGGCATGAATGGTGGACTATGAAATATGTAAACGCTGTGGACACCTGTAATTGTGAAATACAAGAGTGACTCAGCTACAAAAAGCTGATATGTGGAATATATAGAGATGCATCGTCGTCTGGAAACGTGGTGCACCTCATGTATAAGCTTCCCATTAATTCTATGGTAGATTACTATGTTGGTCATCCTCTAGTATATCTGTCTGTTAGGGAAATGCTAGGATGTGGGACCCTGGAGTTACCTGGAGAGAGTTCCGGGGTCAACGCCCCCACGACCCGGTCTGTGACCAGGCCTCCTGGTGGATCAGAGCCTGATCAACCAGACTGTTACTGCTGGCTGCACGCAAACCACGTACGAGCCACAGCCTGGCTGATCAGGAACCGACTTTAGGTGCTTGTCCAGTGCCAGCTTGAAGACTGGCCAGGGGTCTGTTGTAATCCCCTCATGTATGCTGGGAGGCAGTTGAACAGTCTCGGGCCCCTGACACTTATTGTATGGTCTCTTAACATGCTAGTGACCCCCTGCTTTTCATTGGGGGGATGTTGCATCGTCTGCCAAGTCTTTTGCTTTCGTAGTGAGTGATTTTCGTGTGCAAGTTCGGTACTAGTCCCTCTAGGATTTTTCCAGATGTATATAATCATGTATCTCTCCCGCCTGCGTTCCAGGGAATACAGGTTCAGGAACCTCAAGCGCTCCCAGTAATTGAGGTTTTTTTATCTCCATTATGGCACCGTGAAGGTTCTCTGTACATTTTCTAGGTCAGAAATTTCACCTCCTTGAAACATGCTGTTAGTGTGCGGCAATTTTACAGCCTAGATAGAACAAGGGGACCTGAAGATTTGCATCATGGGCTTGGCATCCCTCGTTTTGAGGGTTCTCATTATCCATCCTGTCATTTTTTCAGCAGAGCAATTGATACAATGTTATGGTCCCTTGAAGGTTGGGGATCCTCCGACATGATCACTCCCAGGTCTTGACGTTGGTTTTTTCGCTCTATTTTGTGGCCAGAATTTTTTTGGGTACTCTGATGAAAAATTTAATTTCCTCGTGTTTACCATATCTGAGTAATTGAAATTTCTCATCGTTGAACTTCATATTGTTTTCTGCAGCCCACTGAAATGATTTGGTTGATGTCCGCCTGGAGCCTTGCAGTGTCTGCAATGGAAGACACTGTCATGCAGATTCGGGTGTCATCTGCAAAGGAAGACATGGTGCTGTGGCTGATATCCTTGTCTATGTCAGATATGAGGATGAGGAACAAGATGGGAGCAAGTACTGTGCCTTGTGGAACAGAGCTTTCACCGTGGCTGCCTCGGACTTTACTCTGTTGACCCCTACTCTGTTTTTCTGTTAGTGAGGAAATTAAGATCCATCGACCGACTTTTCTTGTTATTCCTTTAGCCCCGCATTTTGTGCGCTATTACGCCATGGTCACACTTGTCGAAGGCTTTTGAAAAAGTCTGTATATATTACATCTGCATTCTTTTTGTCTTCTAGTGCATCTAGGACCTTGTTGTAGTAAACCAATAGTTGAGACAGACAGGAGCGACCTGTTCTAAACCCATGTTGCCCTGGGTTGTGTAACTGATGGGTTTCAGATGGGTGGTGATCTTGCTTCTTAGGACCCTTTCGAAGATTTTTATGATATGGATGTTATGCTATCGGTCTGTAGTTTTTTTTGCTGTTGCTTTACTGCCCCTTTGTGGAGTGGGGCTAAGTCCGTTGTTTTTTGTAACTGGGATGACCCCCGTGTCCAAAGCTCCCTCTCCAAGGATGGTAAAGGCTCGTGATAGGGGCTTCTTTGCAGTTCTTGTGAACACGAGTTCCATGAGTCTGGCCCTGGGGCAGAGTGCATGAGCATGTCATTTATCGCCTGTTCGAATTTTTTGGCGTCAGCATAACATCAGATAGGCTTGTTTTTAACCAAATTCTGTGGCTCTCTCATAAAAAATTCATTTTGATCTTCGACTCTCAGTCTGGTTAGTGGGGTTGCTAAAAACTGAGTCATATTGGGACTTGAGTAGCTCACTTCATTTCCCCTTGCTGTCATCTGTGTAGGACCCATCTTTTTTAACCCTTTGACTGTCGCGGCCGTATATATACGTCTTACGAAGTACCGTGTTTGACGTATATATACTCAAATTCTAGCAGCTTCAAATCAAGCAGGAGAAAGCTGGTAGGCCCACATGTGAGAATGGGTCTGTGTGTCAGTGTGCACCATATAAAAAAAATCCCGGAGCACGCAGTGCATAATGAGAAAAAAAAACTCCGACCGTTTTTTTTAATTAAAATGCCGACTTTGTTTGGTCTATTTTCGTATAGGTATTTATGGGTTTTATTCTGTTTTCCCTTTGGGCTCATTTGATAGAATGGAAAAAATATTATAGAAAAAAGAAGTGATTTTTTATTGATTTTACTATAAAAAGAACCAAAAAATCGAGCTCAAAGTAGGGAAATGTTTGATTTTTGCCAATGTTTTTAAAGGTAAACAAATGATGCCATTGTCCAATAAATGTCCAACTAGCCATTCTAAAATGCAGTCATGAATGGGTTGATGTTATTTATACAGTTATAAAAGTATTGCAGTAGTCCCGCATAATAGTAAGTCTTCTATTTTTTGTTTGAATAAAAATTCAAAATAGAAAACAAAGTAATATCAGAGGGGGCCCGGAACATGACTGATGGCAAAGAAAATGTTATTTAGAGCCAGGAATGTCTGCATTGTTCATTCTGGACCTTATTTTGAAATTGTCATAGTTTTTAGTTTTTCGTGAAATTGGCCAAATTGCAAATTTCTGACCACATTACAGTGGACCCCCCCCGCATAGCGAACTTAATCCGTGCAAGAGGGCTGGTCGTTATGCGAAATGTTCGCTATGCGAATTAATTTTCCCCATAAGAAATAATGGAATAAAAATTAAATCCGTGCAAGACACCCAAAAGTATGAAAAAATTTTTTTTTTACCACAGAAAAATTTTAAAATTTTAGTAACACACAAACTGAAAAAGGCATGCACAATTACATACACTTACTTTTATTGAAGATCGGTGATGTTTGAAGGGATGGGAGGAGGGGAGAGAGTGTTAGTGTTTAGAAGGGAACCCCCCTTCCATTAGGACTTGAGGTAGCAAGTCCTTTTCCAGGGTTACTTCCCTTCTTCTTTTAATGCCACTAGGACCACTTGAGAGTCACTGGACCTCATGTTTGCACAAAAAAATCTGTCCATAGAGCTCTGTACCTCCCGTTCCTTTTCGATTTGTCTAAAAATGGGCCACAACATTGTCATTGAAAAGTCACCACCACGGCTTGGGAACAGCTGTGTCAGGGTGATTTTCATCCATAAAGGTTTGCAGTTCAACCCACTGTGCACACATTTCCTTAATTTTGAAGTAGGCACAATGGATTCCACAACTGGCATAGGCTTCTCAGGGGTTTGCCCCAAACCCTCAAAATCTTTCTTAATTTCCATACTAATTCTCACCCTTTTTACCACAGGGTTGGCACTAGAACTTTCTTGGGGCCCATGGTCCCCTTATTTTCCAGAAACACACCGAAAACACTGTAATAATACGAAATTTCCGAGTGTATGCTTGAAAGTT